AAGAGTTGAAACCTGAAGTCCTCCAAGCGCCTGAATACGAAACGCTAAAGCCTGTGAAAACCCGACGAAATCCGGAAGCGAAGTCGCTGTCAGGTCACTGCCCACTCGACCTGGGAGGATGCTCAAGCAGCACTCTGGAAACGGTCTGAGGGCAGCTGCAAGAAGCCCTGCGCCCCGGAATCGACGACGACCACGAAGGCTTCAGAAGTGCATAAAAACACCCACAAAGCCTGCTGTCTGCTGCAACGAAACTTCTGCGACAGGCGCCTGAGACGACCACACCGGAGCCTGAAGAGGCGTGATGTGTGCTCTTGCGCTTTGACTCTGTCAAAGTTCCAGAGAATCCGTCTCAGTCTGAGTTCCAGCCCTGAAAGAGGAATCTGAAGAGCCGGAGAAGGAGGAAGAGCTCCCTGAGCCGGAGGAGGACTGCTACACCTCGGTGGAGCCCGAGAAATGCACCTTCGCCGGCAGAGATGCGCAATGCTTCTGAGAGTGGAAGAGCATTGCTAAATTTCCTCAATGAGCTGAGGCTTCTACGCTACAAAGTGGCTCATGGAAGAGGGCAGATACAAGTATCCAGATGCCTTTTCTGAGGCGTTGGCGATTAAGGTAGACATTTCGCTCATTCTCTCCAACGATTCCAGGATGTGACCGTGGTGACACACTTCGTTGAAATTTGCAAAGAACGATTTCCACAAGCCCTGTTCTTATGGCGTTATTCGGCAGGTCACGTCCGAGTCATCTTGGGAAGATGCCCAAGAGGCACTCTGGAAACGCGGCAAGGACGGCTGCAAGAAGCCCTGTCCCCATGCTACTTGGTTATAGACAGCAAGAGTTTAGGGCTTGGGGAAAGGTTTCTGGTATCAAGTGCAGCCCGTTTGTTTCCCTGTCCAAAGCAAAGAGTGAGCCCGAGGAATCGGCGGACGATATCGACAAGGCACGGACATCCAAGACGTTTGAGCTTATCCAGCGGTTCGATACTCCTAAGCCTAAGTTGTGCCAAGACTCAAAAACCAACATGCAACCTGCAAGACCCAACCTGATAACCCACGGCTCTAAACTTGAACCCCTTAAACTTGAAGAGGCCCTTGAAGCTCAGCCTAGAAGCCCTCAGATCCCCAAACCCGCAGACACCTAGAAACACTAACACCGACACTCGTTGGCTCTGGCTCTCGAACCTATTTTTCAGGAAGAGTGTCACAACGCTGTTCCTCCCGATGACTGCTTCCTGGCTCTGTTATTCTATGATGATCGTTAATGTCACGACTACCATAGTACTACCATTACATAGTCTTATTGTCTCGGCTATGCGTATCCCTATCACTGCGATGATTAGTATATTAAGTAGAATGGCTTGTTTCCGCTTTGAAAGTTTGCTACGGTGGGTATACAGGCTCCGAAGGACCATTATCAGAACACATGCCCTGGGAAAGCTAATTTCGACCCACGCCGAAGAAAGGGTTTCCTTGATTTTTCTCAGCCTGAGGCTACTATGCTACAAAGTGGCTGCTGGACGAAGGCAGATGGCAACATCCCCACAGCTTCCCCGAGGCACAGATTCACTAAGGGCTTTATTCGATCTCGCCGCATGTGTTCACAGTTTGCCGCTGAAACTCCGTACTCCAGCCCTCAAGGCATCCGCGCTCAATGATCTCACCCTTGTCTAGATCGAAATCCGAACAGTCCGAACAGAATCAGAAGGCTGTAGCCCCTGTTGAGCTCCAGTAAAGACCCAGACATGGACACGAAAACCAGGAGGGCTTGGTTATTCCTGCAGATTCAACTCTGATCCTGTTAGGTCACAGCGCACTCCACTTTCGAAGATGCGCAGAGAGCACTCTGGCAGCGCTCAGAAGGCAGCTGCAAGCAGCCCTGTTCGGAAGCAGCTTGGCCGTGGGAGAACAGGTGTCAGATTTATAATTTAGTGAGTTTGGGATTGGTTTGCAGTATATAAAAGAGTGTTGAACTAAGTTATGGTTGAAACGGTTTGGGTGAGAGGCTTTCGGATGTAGGGTTACAGATTTTCCCTTTTCATATGTGGAGTTCAGGACACATAAGACATAAGAGAGTCCGTACAACCTCCCATCCTCCGTATAGGTGTCCTTCCGGCAAACTTTGCAATTTTGCTGAGCACTGTTGCCATTGTGCAATCTGATGTGTTTGTGTATATAGCTCCCGTGGGCGACATGGCGTCTGTGTTTATGCAGTGTCATACCTCGTTATGCATGTGGTCTCAATAGCTCCGACAGGCTTCAGTCGGTCACAGCTGGTCGCAATGCACAGTTGAGTTCGCAGATACTTTTCTTCACATCGTGGAGGCGTGACAAGGCACCAACACCACAATCCTATCGCAAACGAGCACAGTCATCATGCTTGTGATTCTCTCTTCTCCCCCCCCATACACGTTCCACAGTATCCTTTATGTTTGCTGTACTCACCGCTACTAGCCGCCGATGTGCATAAGGTTTGCGAAGTTCAGGGCTCGGAGCGTAGGCCGTTCGGGCATCCTATACATAGGACGAAGTCCGGAAGCGAGCAAACGTCCCCAAGCAGAGCGGCAGCTATGCGGAGAAGCACTTCTCAAGCGCGTTGCAGGTTTCCGATCGACTTCGCAGCGGTAGAGCCTCATTCCTAGAGACCCTAAATTTGCACCCTAAACCCCGAAACGTAAAACTCTGGACCCGAATCTCTAAGCCCGACCTGAAGCCCAGAAAGATCAGGAATCCGAAGAGCAGGAGAAGGAGGAGGAGAAGGAGGAGGAAGAGGTCCCGAAGGAGGATTGCTACACCTCCGTGGAGCCGGAGAAATGCAGCTTCGCATGAGGGCTTAGGAATTTTGAGGTTCAGGGTTGAGGAATCAGGCTTCAAGGTTGAGGCCTTGAGGCGAAGGTGAGCAAAGCTTTTTGGTTGGGAGATTGGTCCAAGTCTTGGGTTTTATGAGCTCAGTGAGCTGAGGCTTCTACGCCACGAAATGGTTGATGGAAGAAGGCAGATACAAGCACCCAGAGGCGTTTCCTGAGGCCTGGCACGGTGTTCAAGATTGAATATGTTATGTGTCACGGCGCAATACAGATGCGGTGCCACCTCGTCCTTAGTTTCAAAGTTTTGCTAGAACTGACTGCTTTCGGCAGGTTACGCCCGAATCGTCTTGGGAAGATGCCCAAACGGCATTCTGGAAACGTGGCAAGGACGGCTGCCAGAAGCCCTGTCCCCATGCGACTTGGCTACAGAAAGCAGGCACTGGCATCTTCCCGTTAGCAATGCATGAGGTGATTGCAGCCATTGTACATCTAACAACCTTTCCAGGATTCCGAAACGCTGACCGACGAGGTTGAGGAGGCATGGCCCCCTTGCACCATGCTGGAACTCCCTTGTATTCAACTTAGCAGTGGGCTTTTGTGAGGAAGATTGCCACAACTCTGTGCCGCATGAGGATTGCTCCATGGATGCAGAAGGCCACAGATTCCCGGACCTCTCTTCTGTCGAAGGGCTTGGATGACTAGAATACGGACGGATGTGGGGGAGTATATTGTTACCACACCTTACTTACCACAAGGAACCCTGACGAATATGATATTACTAGTTATTTAGCCCCCCCCTTTGAGCTGAGGCTACTACGCTACGAAATGGCTGATGGATGAAGGCAGATGGAAACATCCCGAGGCCTTCCCAGAGGCCTGGTTAGGGGTCGGAGTAGTAATCGCATCCCCCTATAGTCCGTGCATAAATATATGTGCGTGTGTGTATATATATATATATATATATATACATATATAGTATGCAATTATATGTGTGTATATATATGTATGTATACTGAGTATCTATGTATGTGTATGTGTGTATATATACATATCTATATTATAATGATACTACATCGAGCTTCGGCGGTAATGAGACGCAACGGTACATGAACTGCGCAGGGGTTGCGAAAACAGTAGTTGCACACCGATCAGAAGAAAAAAGCAGTGACCCTCGTTGGGGCAAGAAGTGCACGGACATTTCTAGCATGGCTTTGATATGTGTGGAGGTAGGAACAGTAGCAGCAGCATGGCAGCAGCAGTAGCAGCAGCATCAAAAGGAGGAGTCGTGGAGCATACATGTTCCTTGTTGATTTCTTTGTGTGTCCTTATGGGCATGCTTGGTGTACTAAGCCTGCTTCCGGTTCAGGCGCGTCAGCATTCCGCACGACCGTAGTAAGCATTGCATTCGCGATTCTGTGCTGGTTTCTGCCATGACGATCACTTCCACCACCACGTTTGCCTTCGTCAGGTCACTGCCGCGTCGACCTGGAAAGATGCCCAAATGGCTCTTTGGAAGCGGTCAAAGGACGGCTGTCAGAAGCCTTGCATCTAGGACCCGCCTGAGCCCGGAGCCTCCAATACGGAGGACTTCTGTGCTTCTGGCGTGGAAAAAGGACATCATTGCGTGGGTTTGAGAGTGCTAGCTGCCTGCAATACCTGAGCCCTAACCTAGCCACTCAGGCCGAGCAGCTAGGGGAATGTGCCATTTTCAAGACCCGAAAGAAAAACGGCTGGTCTGTGGCCTCGCTGTGGGGTACGTTCTTAATGTGCCGTTGCAGTTTGAGATGTTGCCAGCCATTGCTAGCAGTCCGCTGAGAAAGAACTGCGAAACGAACTGGGGGTAAACGACTGACACTGTTGCGCCAAAGTACCGTTTGGAGCTCTTGTGTTTGCCCTTGTTGTCTTCGTTCGTACCCACTCGCTTTGTGGTGGACTCAATGTAGACGCACGGCAACAGAACAACGAGAACCGAGTCCCATGCACAGTCGGGAGAAGCTTGGAACAAGCATACTGTGCAGCACAGGGATGCTGCTTGAGAAGAATCCCAGAGAGGACTTGTGTTTCTGTGCTAGCATCATGGTTGCTTCCGTTGCGTCTTGCTGTCGAGATTGATTGCACAAAGCAAGGATGGCAGCTGTGAGCTCTCCAAATTTGATTCCGCTCGTTTCCCACACTACGCGCCATCGACCTCCGTCCGACGATGGCAACCTGACCAGCAACAGTGGGTTTCCTGCGGCAGAACTAGAGAAGAAATGTTGAGGCTGCGCAGCCTGAGCTTCTTTCAAAGAGGAATCGAGCGGCCGACAAGATTCAGCAGTCTGCCGTGGCGAGGTGAAAATTCCGGTCCATGCGCTTCTGCCGGTGCTTGTCGGGCTTTTCATTGTGCCCCAGCTGGCATGGAGACAGGATACTCAGGACCATGTCTCTGCCATCTTCGCCAACCACATTTCTGAAACCAGCGCGTGGTTGAGTTGTGTTGGGTTTGACGAACGGCATCTATTTCTTCGAGCCCAAGAAAAGCACCCGCAAAGCCAAGGCCTGGCAACAGGGCAGCTTCAGCTCAGGCCAGGGCCAGTAGCAGGTTCTTAAAGTTGTGCTTGCGTCGTCTGGGGCTTCCCAGAACAGTAGCAGGAGCTGTAGTCAAGAGCCCAAGTGAGGCCTCAGCCCGACAGCACCGATGCATCCTTGGCTTCAGTTGCTCTTCCTGCCTTTGTACTGTAGGGACAGCCTGCCAAAGGAGAGCACCTCACAAAAATAAGAAATCCCCCACCTCGCCTCAGGACCTTCCAAACAGCTCACGAAGTCCCTGTCCATGATGCTCGGATGGCACAGACGCCAAGCCTCCACAAAGAACAGTAAAGAGGCACGTCGGGGACCCATTACCAAGTACCGGGACTCTTCGTTCAAGAAAATAAAATAACCGCCTGTAGTTCTTCAGCCTGTTACCGATGACCCCAAGGATTCAGCTGAAGCCGGAGCTCAGCAAGAGCGAGGCTTGGGATGAAAACTCGGAGAAAAACGCCTCGGTTTTCGTGTGCCTGTTCTTTCCGGTGTGCGATTTGCAAGGTGGAGGTCGAGATGACGCCTTACACACCGGTTGCCATTCAAAAGACGATGCCCGGTGCCGGTGGATGCCCCAGACGGTCCTCTGCAGATCGAACGGTGCGCAGCTGTACCAGCGACACTCCGAGGTGCCATGACGATGAGTCAGCCTTCTGGCTGTCCTCACGAGGACCACCGATGCTCAACAGCAGAGCCCTGAAGACAACACACAGAGCTCGTCTTCGGCCCAACTTCCAAACTTCCTAGTATTGGTCTTCGACGGGAGCAGAGGTAGGAACCAGCCGTGAGTAAAGCTCACCGCAGCCGATTTTCAATGTGGATACATGCGGTTGAGAAGACTTTGGCCGTGCAGGAGGCCGGCCTCATGCCTTTCAGCAACTTGGGCACGTCGGGGGACATCACGATCTCCAGCGACTCACTCGGTCGTGAGTTGGAGGAGAGGAGAATGGGGGAGCATCCTGTTGCAAGCCATCGAGGCATAGCAATGCTCTGTTTTAACGATGCTGAGGTGGGCGCTACATCCTCTCCGCCTCTGCAACAATCCGATCGCTCACGATCAACAGCGGAGCTGAACTCATCATCGGCGATGTGGCAGGTCTCAGTCTGCTTTAGTCCGGAGTCCACACTGTCAGGTTTGCCAAGCAGCGGCGTTTTGTGCATGTGCGCATGTCCAGCCGGACTCACTCGGCTTGCACTTTGGCTGCCAGGTCTGTCGCTGGAAACGCAGGCGATCTATGTTCAAGGCAAGAGTTTTCTGTCCATGTTGGGCATTACAATATCAACGGGTGTTCTAAGATGGCTGGCCCTTCAACCTGGGCATTCACCGCCCGGCACCACCTGCACGACTGCTTCCACCTTCTACTAAAACCTTCATTACTACTTCTGTCATTGTTTCTACGATTACTACTCGATAATGACAAGCACTGTTGCTTCACTGTTCAGTGCCGAACAGTGGACTTAGCACCATGAGAGGCACACTACGCTTGGGATCGGCCACCTGCCCCTTGACACTCGGAGCTGCACTGCATCTATATTATAGGGGCCTAAATGAATACCAATGCTATTTGGGAGTTTCCTTATTATATTTACAGTTATAATGGGCCCCAAAACCCCACTCTAATTATTAAGGACCCTATGTTTCTTGCATCGGCGCATTCTTGATGTTTAGCTTCCGAGGACGGCGGGAGGTCTGGTGGTGACCTTCACCGGCTCCGGCGACATGTCCTCGAGGCCCAGTGCTTTTTGGGCATTTTGCTGTGCAGGCCTCCGGGAGCCTCAGGGCGTGCCGCGTTTTGCCAGGTCCACGAACCCCTTGAACACCAAGGGCCTGACTGTGGGTGGCGGCGGTATCCTGGAGGCCCCCACCACCCAGAGCTTTGCTGGAGAGGTTACACAGACAGACGGAGTTGCGTTCTCAGTCTCCCCTAGCAACCCACCTATCTGAGACCCATAACTGCCATGATTCCAAGACTCTTTGTTGCTAACCCACATTCACATCACGTCACGTGCCACAGTGGCCACAGGTGTACGGAAAGCGCTACTGGCCTACCTGGTCCCTTGTCTGCCTCGGGCCCTGGGTTCCACGAGTTTCAAGTCCAACGATGACCCCTCGTAAGAGAGGGGCGGGGGAAACGGGGGCTGGCCTGTCAAGCACTTGGCTACGGACAGTTTGTACCATTTGCAGCTTGCTTGAGGTTTCCTCTTTCAGGGTACAAAGAATGGGTCCAGATAAGTGTGTTTGGGAACTTGCGGCAAGCGTACTGCAGAGCGTCGCCTGTCGAGGACCCGCCTCTCTGCCAGCGCTCCACCGGGTGCAACGCAATTGTCGCTGGCGGACGAGGCCTGTGTTTTTGTGCTGCGAAGCTTTTGAGCAGCTCACGGCTCACGGCTAAGACTCACATATATGATCCCGGTTCTCGGTTCACCGACCTCCCCCCAATGGTACCCCCCCCCCCACGCTCCCCAAGCCGAATCTGTGTGTGACTGTGCAAGCTTTTTCCACACGAGGGCTCACACACCAAGCAGACCCACGCAGGAAACCCAAACCACACCACACCACAGGTCCCGAACCACACCACACCACAGGGAGGGGGAAGCAACCCACAACCACACCACACCACAGCGAAGGAGGAGGAACCATTTGGGGGGGCAGGGGGCGGCCGAACCGGGATCATATATATATATATATATATATATATATGCAGCCCCGTGTGTTGCGCCGATGAAATCCGAGGTCGACTGGATGGTCGGGCAGAAGGTGGTGTTGACGACCACCTCCTACGTCGATGACGATCCGGACAGCTTGAGTGTTTCAAGAGCAAAATTCCGAGAATCCGGGGACTCTGGACTTTAGGTGTTCGATACTGAGACTGTCCGTCGCAAGATCCAGCCTATAGGGCCTAAGTCTCTTTGCTCAGAAAGCTGACTTAAGAGCCCGTTGCCAGAACGACCACCAGAACGAGGTCCGGGAGATCGCGGCGGCCCCTCGGTGTCACGATTTCTTGTGGGTTTCGGCGTTGCCCCCAAGGGTCAAGACTTCGTCCGAGCTTGAAGGACATTGAATTGGGGAACTTGCATAGAAAGGGGATGACTTCACAGATTAACGCAACGACTGATGCAAGTGGTAAGGTAAGGGAGACGTCCGCCCATGCTGGAAAGCTCTCGCCCTTTCAGTCTCTCTGTGCAAGAGCCTGGGGACTTCTTCGGCTTCCGCTCCTAGTCCCATCCGATGTTTTCCTCCAGCTGCCCGGACTACCCCGCTTATGTGTCGTCTGTCTCCCATGGCGGGCTTGCATTGCGCAGTTGCCACCGTAAACGTAAGCCTGCTGACGTCCTACACCCTCGAGCGCCAGACCGAGATTCTGCTGGCCCCTAAGTCCAACACCTCGACCCCAGAAGCTTAAGGCCCCACACCCTGATGAAACCCAAATCCTGAAACCCAGAACACCCCCTTCAAAATCCGAGGTGAGCGGCTCCCAGATCACTCTGACTCAGGGCCTTCAGTTCGGGCACTACGGTGGGCCGGAGCCACTTCGGCCTAGAGCATGTTCAACATTTCTTTTCCTGAGGTGTTACGATTTCGGGTCTTGGCGAAGGGTAGATTCAGATTTGTCTTACGACTGCAATCGGCCGTCCCACACAAGCGACATGCTTGTCTTCCTATGTACGTTACGGAGGGTTGATGCTCTCTACCGTCTTAACCTCCGTCTTCTCTGTCCGAGGTACGCTGCAGAAGTTGCGCTGCTGTCTCGCACGATCACCTTCCAAGGAGCTGAAAATGGTTGCAGCATGCGGGTTTCCAGCGCAGGTGATTGTGCTTTGGATCTGGAGCTGATACAGTGCATGGACGTTCGGTGCTCGTAGGCTTGGAGGGTTTGGGTGGGCAGGAGATGCGGCCAGCGAAAACACTCGATGCTTGGCCGAAGATGCATTTCGTGATATTTCATGTCTTGCAGCACACGCAGAATCGGAACCGCAGCAGTATCCCGGAACAGAGTCGATGGGTCTGCGAAGGCCAAGCTGTATAGAATCTGTATAGGTTCTTGGAGCTGCTTGTGCTTCAACATGATGAGCCCGGATCGTCAGAAGCACTTGCAAAGTTCTCCTCGAGGTTACGGCGGGCACATCATGTGCATGCCTGGGTCCCAGTGCCGCATCGCTGGGGCCATGGCCTATCGGATGGGCCAGGAGAACAAAATGGGCCGGCGGCTCCGGCGAGCTTATTAGCCCTAAATTGTCCGGTTTGAGGGTTTTGGGTTTTTGGTTTAAGTATAAGAGTACTATCAGGGTTACTAGTCAAGAAGACGGATTTCTAGAACCTCTATCAGGCATGTAACATCTCAGCCAGGTACCCCTTCCACTTCCACGTCATGGGTCGAGTGAATGGGGAATCCTTCTTCGAAGACTGCCTGGTTCAGCACAGCTTCTTCCGTGCCTTCACGGCCCCTTGCGGCACGCATGGTTTAAGTTTGCTGCATGGCGAGTTTTCCAGAATCTGAGTTTACAATGCCACGAGAACGGCTTGGGCCCCAGGTTGCGTGCAGGAAATGTTGCACCTGAAGTAGGACAGAGTGGCAACAATGGCCAGACCAGCAGCAGTAATGCCAATAGTCCAACCTCACTTCCAGAGATGATGATGCTAGATGTGCAAGAGTGTCAACACAGATCTTATGCCAGTGGATAGAACGGCGGTTCTTTGACTCAATCATGGTAGTGGTGCTTGAAGTTACAGGCGCAAGGATGGCAAGTAGTATAGCTATCGTGATCAAGTGTCGATCGCCGTGTCCCAGGTGCACGGCACGTCGAACTCGAGAGTGTCCCGCAATGTGGCTTACGACATTTCTGGGAGTGCCTACTATCTTGAAGATGGCATTGAGACTTGGAGCATCAGCCCTAAACCCTAAACCCCAAACCCCTAAACCCTAAACCCCTAAACACTAAACCCTAAACCCTGCTTGGCTCCCGGGAAGTTTGGGTCCCAGGAAGAGGACAACCTCTTCGAGTTCAACCTCGCAGCTTTCATCCTCATCATCGACAAGCTCAACGACTACGGAGTTCCCCGGTGTGACGAACTTCCGTTGGCCCTCTTCTTGTGACAGACATATAAATATAAAAATATATATATATATATATATATACTCGTCCATATACATATGTACACGCCTTTCTGTTAGATTTGCACCGTGTCGTATCGCTTTCGCGCCCAGGGCGGTGGCCAGGGCGGCGTGAGGATCAACACGCAGCCGAGCCGCCTCGTGCCAACCGATGCCACGGCTGTCGGGCGGCTCCGCTTGCACCGAAGCTGTGGTTGTCACTCAAGGGAGGGGACACGGGACCCACGAAACAACCATACCTCATACTTGCCACTGTGGAGGGGAGACATGGGATTGGGAGCATACATCGTACATGTGCGATTTGCAGCAGAGGCGAGCTAGAGGAGAAAGGCCATCAGCTCTGGTGAGCTTGCCTCAGGTTCTACTGCACGAATGCGAAGAACAGATGGATCGGAAACTCCGCCAGCGCCTTGCATGCAAACATACTCAGGGGCTATCTTTTTAGAAAATTTAGTGTGCCGGTGACCAACACTTTTGCAATCTTCACTCTCTACGAAGCTGGTGGACCATGCTCGAGAGAGCGTCGTCAGACGTTTGCAGCCCCTGGCAGCCAGGGCAGTGCATGACAAAAGACGGAGCAAGTAGACACAACTTGTGCACAAGACCACAAGTTTACGCCTCTCTAGCAGGAAAACTCACACGCCGAAGTCTTGTTGCAGGCGGTGGCTTTGCTGGCTTCCATTTTCCTCGCGTGCCCTATGTCCTTGGCGACACTTACGCGCAGAACAAGGCGTGAGCTGCGGCGACAAGGAGTGGCCCAGCCCGTGTCATCTGTGCACTCTATGCAGGACTACCACCCGGATGAGGTAGAGCTGGGCGAGTTTGATTCAAACACTGCGCACTCATCAGGCGGATGGGTGAAAGGAAAATGCTGCAATCACTTCAGGGTGACTCGAGACGGTTTCTTTCTCAGGCTTTCTGGCCACGATGGCATAACCGTTCCTTCGATAGCTTTCTGCAGACATCAGTGTGTTTAGCCCAGATGTGACGTGTAGCTTGCTGACATTCAGTAAACTGCCGGGCAGGCCGGCTGTGGAGCCGCGGCGGCTGCATGTATGTCGGCGGCGAGCTCTGGGACCCTCAGCGATCGCAGCTCTCGTGTTGGTTGCTGCTAGCTGTCAGCTGTCACCTGCCCTAGCCAAGCCATTGCTGAGGAGGACAACAAGGGCTCCCATGAGTACCGCTACACGAGTGGCCGGACAACAACGCGGAAGGAGGGCCGCTTCATTTGGACGAACACCAAGGCCGCTCCGTCTGCTGCACGCAGACGGCGGCCCCAAAGCCAGAGTGAAGCATCGGCCCCTCTTTTCTCCTGGCAGGTCTTCGCTTGCCGGAAGGGCGTCCTTTTCTGGGGCACCTTGGCGAAGAAGCAAAGCAGAGCTAGCACCGAGCTTTGCTCTGTCGGAAGCAGAGCCCAGACTTGCAGGTTCCGGCGGCCGCTGGCCGGGTCTGGGCTTGGAAGGCACCTGGGCATCAAAGCACTCAAATCCCACTTTTCCTCTCACTTTTGCGGCTTTGGCTTCGGCTTTTCCCTTCACCGCTTCCGGTCCGGGCTCCGATTTCGGAGAGAGACTGAGGCTTCGAGGCGCACGACATCTCTCGCGCGGTCACTATGCTGGGGGACAACTACATGTGCCCCGGCTCTCCTCGACTCATCTCTCTCTCTCTCTCTCTCTCTGTCTAAGAAGTCCTGAATTCCGGACTGCCGAGCACCTCAAAGCCCTGCAGTGAGGTATAACTCGGTGGTCAGCGCGCACACGGGCAACACCTTCGCCACAGACCTGCCGAAGGTCACGGACGGCTTCGAGCTGCACCTCGGGCTCAATTGGGCGGACATGACTCCACGTACACGTACCGATGCTCCGTGTTGGCCCAAAGCAAAAGCCTCCAAAGGCGGCTGCTCTCACAAACTCCCCAAACCTGTGACACTTACCCAACAGAGCCTTCAACCTCGAAGCAACCCCCGAAGAAGCATAAATGCTCTGAGCCCTAAACACTTCACCACTTCACTGAGCCTGTAGCCCTCAGGTACGACACCGGCATGCAGACCATCCTCTCGCAGGCGAGACCGAGACGGGATCTTAGGAGGGCCCAAGAGAAGAATTGGCTCTGGTGTTCATTTCTCAGGATTTACATCAGAGCATTCTGTATCTCGATATCTAGACCATCTCGGTATATCTATGGGCTTGTGTGTGTGTGTGTGCATCCACGTATGTCATCCATAGAAACCCAATCCATCAGATGGATACATAATCTATATACATTGCAATGATCCGGCCGCTGCAATGATCCGACCGCCTCAGGTAACATGGCGAAACTTCGACCGACCCGGGGATGTGGCCATCATGGCTGCTTGGCCCAGAAAAGGAGCCCGCCCCTCGACTGTGGCCTCACGGTCTCCCCAAATGCGGAGTCCCGTGCGGTTGAAGAGTTCAAGAATGGGAAAGAACTGAGGACATGACTCACAGCAACATCTTCAAGCCTGCAGGACCCCATGCGCAATGCTTAATGCTTGCTGTTACAGCCACTGGAAGACTACGACGAGGGAGCCACAGGTTTTCTTTGCAAGAGGAAGCCTGCCGAAAAGACGTCCCATGCCTTGCTCTCGAGAGGAATGTTTGACACACGGGCCCAATACTTCGAGGGAACCCCCTTTGCGCAACGCCTGCGCTGGAGCCTGAGATGGAAGAAGCGCAGAGTCCGTCATTGGTGTGAAGCCACGACACCCGAAGAGCCTCCACGACATGCGTCTTTGTGCGACGCGTCTGAGCGGCAATCTGGAAGCACCGAGGTCATGTCGAACGATACGCCTGCACCTCGCCGCTTGCCTAAAGCTAGAAGTAAAGCCACTGGCGAGCCGAAAGTTTCCTCAATCCGATACCCAACAATGCCTGAATGCCACTCCTGACGGCACCCCTATAAGCCCCAATGGCCCTAATAGTGCGCCCTGCGCCCATGAGGTTCCATCAGGACACCTGCAAGAACCGCTGCGACTTCTGCCCAGGGACGGCTGGATCTTCGCAGGTTGCCAACATGATTGATGCGGCTCAGAGGATGATAGTATGACTAGGACGTACGACGAGGGCCTTTGAAGGGAGCAAGGATAGAGTATGAGTGCTTTTGAAGCTTCAACGGGGTTGCAGTCAGTCAGTCTTCCTGAAGAGAGTTCGCCCTTTGAAGCAGAATCGCGACTCAGCTCCTCAGCTCACAGCTCAGTGCAGCGGTTTCTTTCTCTCGCTTCAGCCGACTCTCGCTTCGCTCCATTCGCGCTGAGACGGACGGGACGTTGGTGGGTTGGAACGAGCCGGCCATCATCGGCGCGGATGACGAGGCCACGGCCGGGTCTCTTGGGCCTTCTCTGCACCGACGCGACCGACGGTGCTTACAACGTCATTTACACGTGTTCTCTCTTCTTTTGGGCGCAAGTCTAAGTGCGCAATTTGCATCGATGCAGGATTCAGAGACGAACTACCGCACGAATGACTGGTGGCGCATCGATGACAGCATCCCGGCCTAATTGTTGCGGCCAAGCTGCTGAGGGGAGGGGGGGGGACAAGGGGGAGGAGCAGCGTTACGCCCGGGAATCAACCAACAAACCCAAGGAGTAAGTTACAAGCCCCCACTCAGCAGACATCAGCAACAGAAGCACCCGAACAACTGTTTGGTAGCTCAGTCGGAAGCAGACAGTCTTGCCGATACACTGACAGTGAAGTCACACAACGAATGAGCACATCAGACGGCGTCAGTGGATGCCCCTGAATGTCGTGGCTTGGAGATTTAAAGGGTTCCTAACTCGCCGATGTTGTGGCTTCTGCTGCGGGCCAGAAAAGCAGCATGCACTAACACTCATTTGCTTTTTGCATTGGCTGGGGGAATGTCGGTTTTAGTGGAGACGCCCAGTCCTGTTTCGTAGAAAAGTACAACAGGCTGCGCCACGTCCAAAAGCGTGGCTCCGGCGTGCCTTTCCGAGGCTGCCAAAGGAATTTTGACTGGGGCTTCTGGATCTGCCCCACGAAGGGCCATCGGCCCGGGCCCCGGGTCAAAGCGACATCCGGAAGAGCTTCAGGGTTTTTCGGGGTTTCGTGCTTTTTGAGTAGATCTTGGGACATGTTGGACCCTACGCATTAGGCAGGCTGTGGGCTTTCGAAGTGCACCGAGGGCTCACTCGAAGCTTCGCATCAAGCACTCCTCCTTTTCGCTTCGGCCAGACAGCATCGTAGATTTCGATCCCTTTCGGACTCTTGGCTCCCTGGTGCCGGGCAGGCAGGCTATCTGCTTTGACTGCCTGGGAACCCGACCCCTTCTGGTTTTCGGAGGTCTAAACGAGTCTAAACACAGATTTCCAAGGGCGATCGCGAGCTTGTTCTTCATGAAGGGCCACCAGGACAGGTATCCGGACCGCACGGATTCCAGAACCGCCGCACCTGGGCGGCACGGACATATAGCAGTCCTTAGGGGGCAATATTTAGAACTGTTCGGGCCCGTTTAGTGTTGTGTCCACCGAGTCACGTGGTCTTTTTTTGAAAACATGGGGAGGCGCTCTCATCTTTGCTTCCTACACAACCGCCCAAGTAGTGCCTTCAAGAAGAGCACGGCCGGCACCAAGCGCAAGCGCTTTGTGAGGTGGGCAAGGTGTACCACTTCGGCCGCTGCTGGGCTCATCGTTGTGTTTGTGTATTATACTAGTAGGGTTTAGTTTGGGTCGGTTTTTTGGCATGACGCAAACCTCCAAAAGCCTTCAGAGAGAGATTCCTCCGAATATGGCGACGTGCCCAGACGAAGATCGCCACGTCGACTTGGGCTTGGCCGAGAGCCCCATGGCCCCTTGCCATGCCAAAGTGAGGGTCGCTGTGACGCTGTGTTCGTCTCATTATGCTTGGGCTTTTGGTACTGTATGGCGGGGAGCATGCCAAGCATCGGGGCAAACTCCACACGCAGCGCTTGGGATTCCCACCGGACTGCCTCGTGGACATCGATAAGACACGACAGGAAAGCAATCCATGTTGTTGAGCTTTTTCGTGCTTGACACAGACGCCACTGCGGCTCTCCCGACCAACGCACAGGAAGCCACAGCTGTTCTCCTTGTCACGCTTAGGTCACTGGGCCCTGCTGCGATGTCGGGTGGTTCTTGGCATTGGACAACGGCCCAGCTCTAAGATCGACAGAGATGAGGTAAAAGGGCTGCCCTTGAGCTCCCGAATTGAGGCGCCGAGCCTCAGCTCACCATCACCATTGACCAGATCCCCCCACAAGGCGCGGCATGGGCTCTTGGGCAAAGAACGCTCGGCTTTCAGCTCTCTGGAGCAGGTCTGGTTCTCGCCACGGCTTATCCAATGGGCCAGCTGCCCAGGGCAGAAAGTAACTGCAACAGCACCTGCTACCGGTAGAAAGGTGGCTTGATCGGGAGTGGCGGCTTGGGCCCATGCGCGACAAGTATATAGCACGTAGCTCTGTGCGGCCTCCCGGTCATGTCGCATCTGCCGAGGTTCCTCCATCACCGTCCAGCGTTGCTGGCCGAATTGCGCCAACATGCCAAGAGGCGGACGGGCTTTCTCCTTTGAGAAGCGGTTGTCCTTAAAGTGAAGCTTGAAGAAAAGACTTCACCGGCACAGGAGGTAGAGTTCAAGCGGCGTTCTCGGAATTTTTGCGCATACTAGTTCAGCCGTAGTCTTGCTGGGGAGATACTTGGTTTCAAAGCTTGTGAAGGATGAAGAGACCAGCACTCCGACCGTCGGGCAAAAATCTCGTGAGTCGTCGCGAGCCACCACGCTGACTGCACTGTTCAGGTTCTTCCTTGCAGGAAGTGCTGGACTCCACGGACGGAAACGTGTTCTTTGTGGACGGTGCGCACAGGGAGGGCGATGGGGAGCGGCTGTTGGATGGTTGTCACCTTTCGCAGATAGACAGATTTCTCGTAGACTCGCCGTAGACTCTAAAGGAGGACTGTAGGCCCTTCCCCGCATGCACGATGACTCAAACCCTATACATAGACCCTATAGGGCGATTCGGACCTTAAACCCTGAGTATCGTATATGCTCTAAACCCCAGAGACCCCGCCCTGTCCTACAGCGACCCATCAAGGCTTGGGCCGACTCTTCCTGAAGTTCGTCTATGCCCCTCGGCGGGTCGCTGTTTACAGCCCTTCCACGTGGTTATCTCTATTCCTTCTTCGGAAAGTTGCTTCGAAGAGAGCGCGCGTCTGTCCCCACAGGCCGACAACGGCTACTTCGAGTTCGTGGGCGTCAAGCAGCTTTTGAACTCGCACCGATACCACGCCGGCAAGGCAGGGAGGGTGCTTGACTGGTTTAGGACTCAAGGCCTGGAGGGCGCTTCTAGATGCTAGCGAAGGGAGTCGCCGTCACTGGCTTGTTTAGGGGTCTTAGTTTTCGGGTTGAGAAGTGTTGTGATTTTGCGAGTAAAGGTCTAAAGACGCTGGAAAAAGGACACCTTTGGAGAGTAAGTCTGCGTGCTTTGCTCTCGGGAAGCTCCTTCCCTGAACCTGCAGAGCAAAGTGCCGAAAGCTTAAGGCTCCGTTCGTCAAGCCCCGTAGACCCCAAACCCGAAAGACAAAGAGGGACCTTTTTGAAGCCTCCTCTGTTGCTCTGAGGGCCTTCGATACAAGATCTCGAGCAGCCGATCTGGAAGTGTCGGTGCACTGCAGCTGCCTGCGCGACCTGGCACCGACTTTTGCACTCCGACTCTGTCGCTTGCGTCGATGCATAAGAACCACTAGGAGCCAATAAGGACCAGAATTGGCTCGCTGACACCTTGTAACTGTAACTGCAACCTACTAGCTCCAAGGGGGTGTGAGTCTGTGTTTTCCCTGAATACCTGCCTTCCCTTGACGGAACCAGGCTTGAAACGCAAGCGGCGGTGACTTCCCCATGTCAAAAGCTCAGTCAGCTAGGCCACTCGATGGAAGCACCATTTCGACCACGCCTTTCCAATCGACCACCGAGCTGTTTGGAAGCATTTAGGGCCCGCGGTATAGGAGCTTGCAGGTTTAGGTGTGGGGTCTTTTGTTGAACTGGGCTGAGCGGCTTTTCGGGGTACTTCAGGTTGAGGTGCGCAGAGGCACAGAGTCCTGGCCTTCCTTTCTTCAGCACAAGAGAGAGAGAGAGAGAGAGAGAGAGAGAGAGAGAGAGAATGCGTATTGATGAGAACAGAGCCCTTGAGGTACTCCCACACCACTGAAGTTCCGACAACTTCCAGAGATGTGAGCGGCTGCAGTGACAACTTTGGAGGCCTGACGGGGGGGGGACTTGGTGTGTAACGGACAGCAGCTCTGCCCTTGGAGATCTTGCACAAGCCGCAGGCTTCCCTGGCTGTCACTACATCCGCACATGAACCGTCACTGCCCCCGTTCCCAAGCCTCAGAAAGCTGAATCGTGCTGCTTGCAACGAAGCTTTTCTGAGAGGCTGCAAGACGATGCTCGCCTGATCTATGCGGATCGCGGACCCAGCTTCTACTGTAGAGAAAAACCAGTGCTGTGACATGTCAACATCCGAAAGCCATCCGACTGTCCTTTTGCCACTAAAGCTTTGCGGACCATGATGCTTGCATATCTGGCAAACGTAAGGAGCCTTTGCTGCAAGTCTAACGGCTGGACATGCTACGAGAAGGATGCCTACTATGCACAGTGCCGCCAAAGTTGCACACCAGGCCAGGACAGAGTTGTTTGCTGGAGTCTCACTCTCCAAGGCTCAAGGTTCAAAGCATGAACGGCCGTCGCCTCACATTGATTCTGACTGTCCGTGCCTGGGGTTCTGCGGAAATATGGCGGGTGCAAGAGCCACGGTCTGTGGTTGTTTTGGCTCACTAGAAGGACAGTAGGTCTTTGAATCGTGCTTTGGTGGTTGTTTTGGCTCTGACTAGAATCTCTGAATCGTGCTATGGTAGATGTGATTGCTTCTACTGGATCACAAGAAAGCCTAAGCCCAAGCAGCCGGCCACTCACGATCGAGTCAACAGGCATTGAAAGCGCTGCAGTCACCAGACGCATTAGATGCTTAGATGCGCACCACAGCGCAACAGCAGCAGCAGATACTGCACAGAGGGCTGCACAAGCGGACAGCATGCACATCTTCGTCGTGCAATCGTTGCTCATTTTCTTCATGCTTTCCCTCATCGCTACCATGATTCTGTTTCGAAGCAGACCTCGAAGCCTAGCCCCCAATCCCCTGAAAATTGGGATCTGTTGGGCGGAGTCTCTTGCACCGTTTGCACCCCGCACCAATCGAGTCTCTGCCATCCGTCCACATCGTCAGAAGGGAATGGCAGTCGCCACAGATCCTGCGCCGTCCGCAGGTATCAACCCAAATGACGCGCCACAGTATCAGACTCCGTGGAGTCCCGGCAGGAAGAAGAACTGCAACTCGAAGGTGTGAGAAGAAAGTGCCGAATTTGCCGAGAGCTAAGGAGCTGCAACATCTTGGGGCAAACCACGCAGCCTGCGACTACAAGCACACCAGGCCCCCGAAATGCTCCCAGTGCACCTTTCCACAGAGTGCAATGTCGCAGATACGAACTGACGCAGGTGCCACCACTGCCACTACGACGGCAGCCACTACGATGCCTATGACGACACCGGAGGCGACCACAGCAACAACGACTGTTGCGGTGACGACTACGACCACCACAACGATGACGGCTGGGTCCTCGAAGGTCTTCGAGTCGTCTCATCTCTTGGCCTCGGTGACATGACTTCTTCCAAGGCTGCGGCAGGGAGCTTCGTTCCGGTGGACGGAGGCAGCGGCTGCATCAGGGATTCCGGCTGGGCCGAATCATCCACAATGTTTGGAGATTCTCAACATGATGCCGACAGCCAAAGGTCAGAATGTCGTTTGCCGCGGCGCCAGCTCCAGCGACAATTCCGAGAGCTCCTTCGCAGGCATATGCGGCGTTTGTCAGGAGTGTTTTGCCTCAGCTTTGGCCTGGCACGAGCTTCGCTGAATCGTTCCGTCGCTGCCTCTTCGATCTGAGGCTACTACATCTTTCACAACGGCGTTGACTCGATCGATGAGTGCAAGCAGCTCTGCATCGGCACTGACGGCTGCAAGGGCATTGAGTATGACCCTCGCTGCCAACTTGAGATCTGCAGCGCAGTCGTGTTCAATAGTCGGAACCGGTATGTACCATCGCGCGGTCATCACGACGTGTTCGACCGCAGTTCTACTAGTCCCCGAACACGCCGCTGTAGCTTCCCGTGTGCCCTGGTCTAGAAGCGCCGGCGCTTCCCTCTGAGGGCTCCCGCAAGTGCGAAGTCTGGATCCGCGCCGGCGGCATCGGCGCCACGAAGTCTCTTTCGGGCTACACTTGCCTCCGCTATACAGGTGCGCAAGAAAGGGATTTCCGAATCTTTTCAGAAAGCGACACTTGTGGCCAATGTTGCCTACATGTGCCATAGGCCTGGTAAGGCCGTCAGGGCTTCCTTGCTGTCCATCACAGGCCCTGTCACCACAACATCAACGACGACTACAACGACAACGACCACAACGACCACAACAACGACGACCACAACGACCACAACGACAACAACAACGACGACCACAACGACGGCGATGATGACGACAACTACCACAACAGCCTCCAGCTCTTCGCGTACATTTCGCCCCGTGGATGGAGGCTGGAACCGGTGATATGGCTGCGGTGCGAATTCGGGAAACCACAAGAGCCATGCAGAGCCATGCCACGCTGAGGGCAGAACCGTGCCTGCCGCGGTGCCTCCCCGGGCGACAATTCGCCTAACTATTTTCAGGCGCGAGATTGACTGACTCCGATACCTCTCACTTTTTTTCGGTTTGCAAAGACGTGCATGCTGCAAGGTCAGCAATGATGCCACTCTGGAGGCGAGCTTTGCTTCGGGTACAGGATCTGATCCGCCTGTGTCAAGACAGTCAGCGGCACGATCGAATGTCCCACCGTACTTGCGCAGTAGCTCCTACGAAGCCAGGGCTGCCAGTCGCAGTGCATGTCGACCGACGGTTGCACGGGCATCGAATATCACGCTTCTTGGCATTGCACATTCCCATCTTCCCTGAAATGTTTTGCTGCTTTTTGGTCCCTTCGTTTCTGACAGAACGGTCTGCCTGCGGCAAAGGTGCGTGGCCGTTGCGAAATCTGGACGCGGCCGGAGGGAATCCATGCCTCTATCTCGCTCGTGAACTACACCTGCCTTAGTTACAGCAATCCGGCATGGCATGCAAAGAACTGGAGAAGCATGCAAGTGCAAATGGCTTCCCTCCCTCTCTGCCCCAGTGCTCCAGAGACTAAGGCGCGCCAACTCCTGAGGGCATCTTTGAGGCCGTCGACGGGGGCGAGGGCCGCGTCTGCCGAGGCGGCCATCCAAACGACAACCGGGCCAGCTACTTCACGGTCGAGCAGGCCGCCGGGTAACCACAAGTTGCATGCTCCTTCAGAAGACGGGTGCCAAAAGAAGACGCAGTTCTTCGCTTCTGTTCTCTGTCTTGGTTTTGGGGCCTCCGGCTGCAGGCCAGCTCTTTGGAAGGATGCAAGTACAAGTGCATGGAGGCAGAAGTCTGCCACTTTCTCGGAGACTAGCACTCTTGTGCATAGTGCGATGAAGTTTGCTTTCCCGCAACGTAGCTGCCTGGGAGTTTTGCTGTGACGGTCCAAACTTCCCTGTGAAAAACTGCTGAGTGTGCCAGCTCCACTCCTGGGCTGTTCTTTAGGCTTTGTGTACTTTTTCACACTCTCTTGGAGACGAACCGAAGGTGACACGGAATCAGAAGTTTGACGCCTTGGCGAAGAGCGGGGGAAGCCGAAAACGCAGCAACCCCTTGAACACCCGAAGACGGATTTGCCCACGTCCAGCAATGTTCCCCCCGAAGACTAGAAGCCCAGCCGCCGATAAAGCCCCGGAGTCCCTGAAGCCCGAAGGCCCCAACAAGACAAGATGGTATGTACTTGTAGTTGTAGTTATGTAGTGCGAAGAAGGGCCTTCCGAGCGCCGTTCAAAAAGCCGCCGCTCTCTGAGGTCAGGGGTTGGAGTACCACACCGGGGGCCGCTGCGAGATCTGGACCCGTCCAGAGGGGATCGAGGCCTCCCGGGAGGCGCCCCAGAAAGGGAGCGGAGCACTGCAGAGAGACGGCTTCCTCTTACCTTTTGGTTAGTAGAGAATGGAAGAAGGGTAGTAATAGTAGTTATAATTATTGCGATTATAATTGTACCCCATTCTCCTCCATTCCCTACTCACCAAAGGTAAGTCCTAGGACCCTGCAGCTGTTTCTTGCTGCGACGGCTCAGGCATCCGGCTACGTTTGCCTCCGTTACCTGGGGGTGGAGGCGTAGATCAAGGCCCCAGCTGCGGCCATGAGAAGCTGCTTCGGGGGCTGCGGTTCTGAAGCTTGTTGGGTTGGGTCCATGGTGGAGGGGCAGGTCGTGGTGTGGTCCGTGATTCTGATTGACTGAAGTTAACCGGGTGCTTCTCCGCAAAAACACCAAGCAGCAGCTTAGCCTCCTGATGCAGGTTGAGACGTGCGCCGCGTGCGTCTCAGCCGGCGCCTTCCTCGAAACTCCAGCATAGATATAGGTCTTCCCAGCAGTCTCGAGTCGTCCTGTGGAAAACCGGGAAGGCTTGGGATTCCTGCGGTGTCTTATTTGGAGAGCCTCTCAGAGCATTTTTGCCCCATCGGCTCTTTGTCGCTTGGGTTAATTCGTTCCCGCTTCGCCTGGAGCCTGAAAGCACTGATTTTCACATCGTTTTCTCACTGCAATGATTTTCCACAAGAACACATCAGGCCTCAATGCAGTGTAAGATGTCTTTAGGGCTCCAGTGCATGATGAGGGTATGTGAAGGTACCGAGCTCTGTCAGCTTTGGCGGCTTTTAGAAGCCATGACTGCTCGCAGGGACCACATCTGTGCACGTGAAGAGGGGGTTTCACTAATGGGTCCTCTCTTTTGGGGCGTCCTTTTTGACTGGCTCCCGCTCTTTCCGGGGCATACCAAGCAAAAGGGGACCCTTTTGTGGACCACCCCCCCAGACCCAGACGTGCACATGGCCGACCCAGCGGTACAGACTTTACAGCGCTGAGCAGGCAAGCCTAGGCGTGCTTCCCCCACGGCACAGAGTTGTTTCCGAGATTTGCCAATATGTTTCACGAGATGTCTCTCAAGCACCGACCTAGTTGCCTGGGGGAATGCATACATCCATTTACAGGTTCTAGGTTGTCGGATTGCTGTTGAGGTTCATTCACCGGGCTTATGCCATGTGAATGTGACTAAAGGACAAAGGTGAATTTGGGATTTCCGGTAAGAGTCCGATATGTATACCATTAGTCGCGACTTAACCTGCAAAGTACGACCGCCATATCGGAAATCGCCAAGGCAATTCCCCTCCAGCATCCAAGGACAAGGTAGTGGTTGCTCTAGTTGCTCGGCCCTAAGTTTTTCTACGTCCGTATCTAAGCTGCCATCTGAGTCATTTCTACAAAGAAATCGCCGGCCTTCTGCAACTGCAACTACTTCCTGTAGTTTCGTCTGCATGTCCTGCCTTTACGGTCTTCAGCCACCTGTGCATTTCATCCGTGAAGGCTATAACTGCGTGCAAGCTTACGCAAGCTCTTTGGTCCTTGTGCAAGCGGGGCGGTAGGCCCCAAAGGACCCTTGCAAATGCAAAATCCGCTGTTAAGGCCATTCCAAGAGCCACGATAAAATGCCCGAGAGGGTCTAGTCGTGAGACTTAGCAGAGTTTTAGGGTTCGGGGTTTCAAGGTACTAGGGTATCAGGGTTTAGGGTGTTTTTTTGTAGAGACATACAGGATCTTGGACTTGAAAAACGGCGGTGCCATACATCTGTCTAGTTGTCTAGTGGCCATGAGAGCTGTAGCTACGTTGGGGTTCCGATGGAGCCCGGCGCTGCACAGCTCCAGTCTGTTTGGTCTTTCGGGCCAGCATCTGACAGCTTTGAGGGCAAAAGCAGGGGGCATGGGTTGATCTGATGCGCTTCTTAGATTCTTGCGGGGAAGATCATGTTCGGGCACCACGGGTGTGAAGCACGGTATCTGCAAGAGGAACAGCCCTTGCAGAACAGTGGACAAGGCATGTTGCCGGGGCTTCAGCCCTTTCGATTGCTTGCATACCATGTTCGTGCTTTCGCCGCCTGGCCTAAACTACCCTACACATCCCTACACCCCAAAAAACCTCAACCCACCTTGCAGCGTTGCTCGCAGGGGAGCTTTTGGAGGTTGGGACGATTGGGCGCGCATGCATTTAGCCGCGTGGTTTCTGGCATCTAAACCCCTGAGCCCGAGGCTTAACCCCTTAAACTTTAAACTTTGATCCTTAAACCCTCGGTTCCTGAACCTTAGTTTGAACAACCCCGGTTCCCCACTTCCCTGATTTCTGACCTAATACCCTACTACCCAAATGCTCCAATACTTTAACAACCGAATACCCTAATGCCTTACTTCCCTAATCCTTGAAACCCTCGAGAGAAAGGCTCCAAGGCTCTTAGCCTCCTGGTCCAACTTCGTCTCAGCCTGAGGGTTTAGGGTTTAGCCTGGGATAGCTTGGAAGCTGCCCTAAACCCTGAAGCCCAGTCCTTGAGTCTGGAGCCCCCAACAAACTCGACTGATTCTTCGATCATGAGGAAGAAGATCTGGTTGGAGATCTTCAGCATATCCTTGTTCTGAGCATCTGCGCTGTCCATATTCTCCATATATTCGATGTAGAGCGTGTCATACATGCGGGCAAGGTTGAGAAGAACTTGCGTGCTGCGATTCGCACCGCAAGAGGATTAGGAACCTACGCTGGATCTGTTCTCACTGTGCCTGCACCCGCGATGGCATGATTTCATCATAAACATGTTAATACGAAGGTAGCCATCGATTCTACAGTTCTGCAAAAACTTGAAGTTGAATGAATTTAGACCAGGATGATTAATCGAACGCCAAGGTGAACACCATTCGATCGATATGATGAGTGAGTATTGTCGGGATGGGGGAACGTTATGCTTGCCACAAAGATTTACTAAAAATCGTGGCAAGTTCCACTTAACAGGTGATCTCCGCAGCGTGTCGGTTCTTGGGCTTAGCAAAGCTCTTCGTCCAGGATCCTGCTGCTGCGTGCCTTGGTTTCCAGAAGATACCCCGCACTCGGCACCGCCGAGTACCGCAGTTTTTGCGACCTCATGTGGAACTCTTGAGGGAGGCGCAGTAAATATGGAGTCCTGCCCGAGCTCAGGTGCGCCGTGCCGACACTCGCAGCAGTCACCATGGGCATTTTCGGCCAATTGCAGTCGACCCTCATGAGCTTCATGTCCGACGATCCTGAGAACATGACAGAGGGCAAATATGCAGCTTTGCGCTCAAGGAGCCCTCAGGGTTAGGTTATGGCGGTTGTGGGTTACCAGGGAGTCTCGACAACCCCAGGCCCTGGAGCCTTGCAAGTCCAATCAATGGCCCGGAGACCCAAGCCCAAGCCCTAAGCAAAAGTGAGCCGTAAAGCGGAAAGCCTTTGAAACTCTAACAGCTCAGGCTCTACCTTTCAGATTCCCACAAAGAACCCTTAAAGGTCGACGGTTTGCGGATTTGGGACACGTTGCATCGGATGAAACAAGGGGGGACAAATTCCTGCTTGAATCGGTGGATAGTATCGTCGGTGCGATAAGACTGCAAAAACAGGCTGCTAGGTGACGATCTTCGGTCCTTCTACTCTAAACCCGAAAAGCTTTCCCTAAACGACCGAGATCTCGAAACATCAGATGTGTAAAGCCCGGGGAGGGACTTGGGCCCCTCAGAGGGGGCCCCCACTAAACCCTCCCCAAGGGCCCGAGCTCCGAGGTCTACTGGACCAAACAGGACGATGACGTCCCGCGAGGACATGTTGGAGAGGCCCCTTTGAAGGGGCCCTCGCTTAAGGGGCCTTCTGGAGTCGGCCGGGTGTTTCAAAGTTTTTTGACGGTCTTGCTGGAGCCAAGTCGGCTCGCGCTGAATTCCAATGTTTCAGAGTCTAGGATTTAGGGAAATTCAGGAAGTGTCGGTCTTTTCTTGGTGTGTCTTTAAAGGTTTAGGGTTGGTGTGTGTTCGGGTTTCGGACTTTTCTGTTTTGGGGTTGAAAGGCGCTATTTCTTCAACGAGGTTTAGGGGTGGTTGTCAAGGTCCCGTCCCGGGCTTTGTTTCATGCCTTGTTGCCGATTCAAGGTGTGTTTCGAGGTTTGGAACTAGGCGAGAGATTCGGATTGGTACCTCCTGCCCTGCCCCAGCCTGGAATGTCTGGCCAAGCGCAGAGCCTGACAAGAACAACACAGCCTTTGTTTTTTGCGAAGCACATTTTATGGAGGAGGTGTGTGTTGACCCGAGCGGATGTGGAGCTTTTAGCTCATAAGGTCTGACAGCTGCAGGCACTGTCATACCAGAGTATATATACTTGAGAAGACAGTACGCACAAGAGATGCTGCAGTTCATTATGATGCTGTGATTGTTGCTGTAGGCGTCGGCCACACGACCATGAGCATCTGAATACGAGAACAGTGTTGGTTATGCTTTTCTTTCAGGCCTTCCAGGATTCCAGGAGCCCCCCGAAACTGCCCCCGGAGACGAAACATCGGAGGACCAGGGCCGCTTTCTGCCCAAAGAAGCCCCACAAGAGATAAGAGATGAAGTAGAGTAGCCCAGTAGCCATAAACTTCCAACAACCGCGACCTGGAAACCTCTGAAGCTTCGCTATCCCTGTGGGCAGATTGTGGATATCCAAAGCGATGGGGACAGAAGGGTCAAGTGTCTCGGCAACGGAGGCTTTCTCGGGTTCTTCTTCGGGTTCTAGGTTTCACACGAAACGTCAAGACATGATCTGGTATCTAGTATATAGTATATAGAATACTTTGTGGTGTATTTGTAGTCTGTTGTGTATGTAAGAGAGCTCACCCGCCGTGCGCACGCCGAGGTTTCCAAACGGAAAATGGAATTTCGCCCCTGAGAAGTGCCGGAGCTGAGATCAGAGCCCAGGGGTTTGAGGTTTGGGATTTGGATTTTCAGGGTTTTCACGCTTTAGGGAGCGGGGTCCGGGATATTTGGGGTTGGGGGGGGAGGGGATGGGAAGTGGCCTTGCAGTTCTATGCCTCAAGTGTGATAAGTAGACTAAGTAGACCTGGTCAATACCGGTTACATGCACTGGTACTGCTACTGTCCTGTTCGAGCCGATGGTGGTCCTGTTTACTTCTCTTGCCAGTAGAGTTATTCGGAGGTGGTCTGATTTGCTAAAGCAGGACCGTCAGCATTAGACAGCAGATGGCGACTAGAAGACGGAGTTTAGGTTGCTGAAGGGCTGAAGCAGTTGTGGCATAGCACTCCCCCACGTTCAGCTGCTTCAGCCCATAGCCCCCAAGTCAAAAAAGCAAGAAAGCAAAACAGAACGAACACCCATAGATAACACAAAGACACGCGACTGAGAAGACTTGAGGCTGAATATGTGCGACTTTCAGAAGGGTACTTTCGTCCACGCCACGGGCGACGACTATGACTTCGACACCGTTGGCGAGGTCCCAACACGGGCGACAAACTCAAGAGTTTGCCTGGGTCAAGACTTGCCGCTTCTGTGCTCTGTAGTAGTCTTAGGGGTACTTAGAATTAATTTTTAGTTTTTGGTGATTACAATCCCCAAGAAATAGCTGAAAAATATAGTTTTTGCTAGGATTCTAAGTTCAGCAGCAGCAGCAGCAGCAGCAGGAGTAGTAGTAGTAGTAGTAGTAGTAGTAGTAGTAGTAGTAGTGTGGTGGTGGTGGTTGTAGTACTACTAGTAGTATCGTAGTATGCTTTTCCGACCCCAAAGTAGTCCTGGCAGCTCTCGAGACCGAATCGAATGGAACCATCAAAGGTTATAGCTACCTTATTCGGGTTAGACGTAGTTATAAGTATACTTACTTCAATTAGAACGTCAATTACTAAGTCCCATGACTCCATGACGTTTCAAGTAGGCAAGTCTTTCGCCAAACAGAGCCCCAAGGGCCCAAGCCTCTGGAAGCGAAGCGGCGAAGCTGGAGGTGAAAGACCTGGAGGATGGGAAGTTCATCGTGGAGATCAAGGGCGAGAAGGCGCTCTTTTATCGTACAGAGAGAGCTGGACTTGTGGGATGCGATCCGTCGCACTACTGCGATGTGAAGCATGAAGCAAAATGGTTGTTTTGACAGAGCGACGTGTGGAAGGCGCTGCGACTTTGGAGAAAGATTGTACTTTTTGCACTTCGACGGTGTGTTGTGCAAACCACGAACCACTCGGCAGGGACGACGTTTTCAGCATTCCTTCTTGAGTTGGCTCGCGGGAACAGTACGCCGGGCGCGTTGCAGAAGATACCCAAACTTCCTCCCGCCCCGATGCCAGCTGCTGGTAGCACCGCCTCGTATCCCCGTGCAAGGCATCGCCCTGAAGCCTATCTGAGACCCTAGCCACGCCCAAGTCCATGTAGTTCGGCTTGTTCACCATACAAATTTGACAGTTGCCAACTTCCTCAAGATTGATTGAGCCAGCCGCCTTCCTGTATCTGTAGCCTTTCTAAAGCACTGCAAGTGAGTGTTCTGGCATGGGACTTGTCATCTTCCCATGCCAAACTTCTGAGCTGTTGACCCCAAAGTGACAACTTCCATATTTCCCTGTGACCATATACCTGTTCGAGGAAAAGGAGAAGCCGAAGCATCTGGTGAGATGTGATTTTCAGCCGGGAATGTATGCAGCCCGGCTGGCCTAGAGCTGAACAGGCCGAAGGTTTTGTGAAGCTTGGGGTTTTGTGAACCCAAGGTTTGCGGCTTTTACAATTCTTACGGCTAAGCGGACTTCCGAGTGAGAGTGCCGAACATTCAGCGCCCCTGGAAGCGCGCGAGTCTACCCAGGTCTTCTGGATCAAGTCCGACGACGACATTCCTGCGGGGCACATGGGGGAGGCCCGGTTCACAGAACCTTCTAGGGACTTTAAGGTTCAAGGAGCACCACCCAAAGCAAAACGGCAGAAGGTTGCCGAATGTGAACCGAAGTTGTTGGATTGGCTATATATATATATGTATATATATATATACATATATATATATATACATATATATACATATATGCATGTATGCAGGTAGGTATGTATGTTATCTGTGTGTTTATGTATGCGTACATGTATATGTACATGTACATGTATATGCATATGTATATGTACATGTATATGTATATGTACATGTGTATGTGTATGCGTATGTGTATGTGTATGTGTATGTGTGTGTATATATATATGTATATATCATTTCTGCTTATTATTTATTTGCTAGTTACCTTCACACGTTCGTTGAGTTTGATTTTTATCTGTTTTTGTATAAGGACACTTATGTATAGTTATAATGTTTTATTTGTTTAAGTTCATCTAGTCATAACATTTGGTTTTTACACTAAATTTCTATTTGAATAGTCTGATGCTTTCCCGGTTTTATATTTCTATTATACGTATATTGATATTTGGATCTATATTTGTTCAATTTTATACATCTTTATCGTTACATTCATATTGATTTAGATATAGATATATAGATTTACTTATACATATATCTAGTTATTCATTTATGTACAGATGTACGTATGTACATAGATAGCCTGTTGAGTATTGTTACGCAGGCCCCAAGCCTAAAGCCTCAACAATGCATCCTTTTAGTGGCTTACGGCTAAATAAGCTTCCAATATAGGCCAATTTTCTGCAACGCATTCGATGTCGAGGCCGCCCTATCGGGTGTATAAGGCTTAGGGGTTTATATTTCAACGTTTCTAAACCGCTAGAACCGACCAAGACAGGTCCTCGCCGACATCAACGACGAGGGTCGGGTGAAGGTGAAGTTTCCCAATGGTCGCTGGCGCTTCCGCCCCTCCGAATTAGCGCCTCTCCTGCAGCCATAGAGTAGTCTGCTTGAGCTTTGCCAAACAACTATACGAGACTACCGTTTCTATGGTAACCTGCTCTACTGCCATATCTTGATGGCAGTGTAGTTTGGGTGAGGGAACTTACAAGACACCTTGCCCCAAAAATTTATGGAACCATTTCGCCAACTCGGCGCCCAAATCTCAAGCCCAAAATTCCCGAAACCATATTCCCGAAAATCCTTAGCCCAAATATCAAGCCCAAAAATCCCGAAACCATATTCCCGTTATTCTTTAGCCCAAAATCCCAAGCCAAAAATCCCAAGCCGTAAATCCCCGTAAAACCATATTCCCAAAATCCCAAGCCTAAACCCAAGAAAAAACACCTTCCCCCATAAATCCCCGTTATTCCTCAGCCCGTAAACCCAAGCCCAAAACCAACAAATAACAATAAGCCTTTTACTGGGGCAAGGTGTCCCTCTAACGATTTGAGTATTATGCTGTTAATATCACGTCATTAAGTTTTATAAGTGTTGGTTATAAAACTTAATTAAAAGATAAAGTTATTTTCGTCGTGGGTTTCCCATATGTTTGCTCTCTCTTTTTCGAGTTTATGCCCTTTCATTTGTAATTGTAGTTTCATTTGTCGCTTCTTAGTTTTCTTTTCCTCCATTGCGACTTCAATCATTTCAAAAGTCTTTTTGCATGAACCACAACAAGTAAAATACACAATGTTTTGAGCGACATTTTCGGGTAAAAACTTTAATGTATCATTTAGTCTTTTCCTTTTGTCATTACATATAAAACAGTTCATAGGGTGTTCTTCATCCTCAACGTCGAGTTCAATGTTTGACATAAACTTGTCCGTTTGGGGTCTTACGGTGTGTGACATACTATATACCCGTTAATACCCTCTACCCTTTAAGCCGTTTTGTGTTACGTTCTTTCGCCATCCAAACCATGATAAATACACGCCGTGATCCAAACCATGATAAATACACGTTTAAAGGTATGTCATGTTATACCGTTAATCATGGGAAGTTCAACATCAACCCAACAAACAAACACACAACCTTTAATAAATCCTTCTGCCAAAGTAAAAAATCCTAAACCTATACACGTGCATCCTAAATTTTCATTAGGTGAATGTATATTTACAGTTGATAATCCCGAACTGTATAGAGACCACTCGTGTAAAGTTATATTTAAATATGTCGTAAATGATGAAATTTGTAAAGATATACGAGGTAAGGTAATAAAAGATATATTAAACGGAGTTTCGCATTACACCGAATGGTATTTAAGGACATATATACCTATCGAAAACGAAGATAAAGATAATTGGTTTGTATTTAAAACTGCCCTTGGCGACGCTCGGCAAGAGCCTCGCGAGCACCGCGAAGCTCGCGAACTTGAAGAAACAATCGCCATTTATAAATTAAATAACTTTTCATATCATATTTACCATTGATGAGTTTTAATATTATCAAATAATATTAAATCACATCTCATTCTTCGCTTTTAGCAAGTGTTTTAAATTGATACTTTTCTTGCTCTTTGTTAAACACAATCTCGTAGTATTCTAAAGTTTGTTCCTTTGGGACTTTGATTTCGCCCTTATTCAGTCTTTCCATGTAAGTTTTCCTTTTCTTACTCCAATCGCTTTTATCGCTCTTATCAACTGGTGTTGATGATGTGCTTTTTTCATAAGTGATTGGTTTCTTATCCTTATCCTTAACCAATTGTTGAACAATTCCTAAAATCTCGTTAATTTTTAATTGAGTCATATTATGGTTTTCTACAATAGTGTTATAAATCATGTCCGTGCTCACCTTACCCTCGGTCATATACGTTATTACGTATTCTACCCTTTAAATACGTATAATTTCCTCAATATCGGCATCGCTCAAAGGTTCTTTTACGTGTTGAATGCACCACCCTTTCGGTTTCAAGTGTTCAATTATTTTCTTAATCTGTGTTTCATTCTCTGGTTTCCTTAAGTCAATCTGTGCCCAAATGAATTTAAATGTTTCGGGTTCATAGTTTAATAATCTTTGCTCCCATCCTAAACTTGTCCAACAATCTAAATCAATACCTGTAACATAATAATCGCATTTTCAGCTACTTTTAGAATACTCATTTTGTTCTGGTAAATGTTTAATAGTTTTCCCATATAAAATATATGTTAAATGTTTTTCCCGACATTTAACGCACGTTTTGCATACTTTACCGTAACAACCGATAAAATAAGATTTAGGAACATAACAACGACAGTATTTGCAAAATCCTATGTCTTGATTATAACCTTCGTTTGGTTTATTGGTTAATTTAAATTCTACTATATTATTCATATTAATAATAATAACATTTATTATTATTAAAATCCATAGGGGTTCAAAAAGCGACAAACTAATTAAGCAACTGCTTATGAGTTGCTATTGGATGTTCCTCATTTACTTCCCTTTCAATAAGCTCGTCCAACGTGAAACACTGGGGAAATGCTATATCGGGGTTTTCTTCTCCTTCTTCCAAAAGCTGGCAATCGTGCCCTGTCCGATATATAATAAAAACATTCCTTTAATCCGACTTAATTTTAATCTTATTTATGACTTCTATATCTTTTTTCATTAAATCAATATCAGTCTCTAATTTCTCTACGCGTTCTTCTAATTCTTCGGGTGTTATTCGTGTTTCGCCCCATCCCGTATTACATATTTCAATGCTTCCTGTTTGTAAATCAGAATCTGGTTTAAAAATATCATCTGGTGATGCATGACGACCATTGCCACCGAACTTAGTATTTCGTTTATCAACTATTGTATTTGTTGTTACTTTGTTATCTTCTTTGATTGTCTTTGTTTCTTTGTGATAAAACTGCCTCTTACAACGGCAAGGAATACAAGAAATACCACGTGTATTTATTCTAAATCCTTTGTCGTCACTCTCTCCTGTTGTTTCCGACATTTATATTAATTAGATTTTTTAATATTCTTAAGATAATAACAAACAGCTTTTAAAAAATCTAACAAACTATGACAACACATTCTGTATCTTGGTGTTTTTATTATATCGTCAAATTTTTCTATTTCATTTATAGTCTCTATATAGCTTTCATAATCACGCATATATAATAAATTATAAAATATTCTATGTATTATTAATAATGTCAAACATTCCAATAGTTAAACCTGTCAATGTCAAAGAATACGAGTTCAAACAATCAAAATATGAAGTAGCCCCAAGATTACCTTTTAGTCAAATAATAACTGGTCCTTCTGGAAGCGGTAAAGGTATTTTATTACAGTCGATGATATTAGACATTTATAAGGACGTCTTCGCAAGAATATATGTATGGAGCCCATCAATTAGCGTTGATGCTAATTGGCTCCCCGTTAAAAGATATATTCAAAATGAATTGAAGGTAGATTTAGAGAAAGAAAAGGTTTTCTTTGACGAATACAATCCTTCGGAATTAGAAGAAGTTATCAACAAACAACATAAAATTATAGAATATCAAAAGAAGAACAACCATAATAAATTACATTCAATATTGATTATTGTTGATGATTTCGCGGATTCAAAAGCATTCTCAAGAAATTCTCCATTATTGAATCAATTATACGTAAGGGGGCGACATAACGCAATTAATATTATTACATCTACACAAAAATTTAATGCTTTGTCTCCAATTATTCGTGTCAATAGCCGTCAGTTGTTCTTCTTCAGACTAAGGAACTACAAAGAAATAGAAACAATGGTCGAAGAATTAAGCGCCGTATTAATTAAAAAATCTTCTGTAGCAGATACTAAGAATTTAACAGAAGCAAAGAAATTATTATTGGAAGTGTATAATATAGCAACAGAAGAACCGTATAGCTTTTTATTTATTAACTTGATGAAAGCGGATGTTAATGACATGTTTTATAAAAGATTTGATGCTAAATTAGTTATTGATTAATAATATTATTTGTTCATAATATTATTAATTATATTATTGAATAATTGCAAAGTGTGACAGGAGGCAAACGATAAAATATTTTATCACTTTTTTTATCTTTTACTTCTTTAATATCTTTTATCATTTCTTTTAATACTTTAATCTGTAATTTATCAATATTGCTCAAATCCAATTCGTCTTCATTAATATTATTTATTTCAGTTATATAACAATTATCGTTGTTAATCTTTTTTGTAAAAATACTGCCCATATATTAATATTTTAGATAAAATTAATTTTTACTTTTGGCTTTTGGTTTTGCTTTTGCTTTAGCTTTAGGTTTAGGGGACGATGACCGAGATAGTTGTTTTACTTCTTTCTTTAATTCGTCTATTTCGTTTAATGCATATTGTAAGGCAGACCAAAGCAAAGGAGTAGTCATAGAATAGTCAAACTTTAAATATCCGTCTCTTCCTTCTCTAACTATGTTGCTCCATTCTTCCGGAAACCCTTTATAATCCATCATTTCATTAGCAATAAAGCCACAACAAGACCTATCGCCGTATTTTTCTTTATCAATAAATTTATATGTTTTGGGTTTTATGTTCTTTACTAATTCTACTGCCTTTTTGGTTTCTAATTCTTTTATGTCTTCTTTAAGACGTTTATCAGATGAAGGCCCAATTGAGCCAGAATATGAGATATCACCGATAATATCAATGCCGCCATCATCAACTTTTAAAACATCCTTGCTTTGTATTTGTAAATAAATTTCACTGTCTAAATCGTTATTTCTCATATAAATCCTTTCAACACCCCCTACTGCTGTTGTATTTGTAATTTGAAATTTAGTTCCATACATATATATAATATCATTAGCAATACTAAACTCTGGTGTTCCTGATACATTAACATCCACTTCAAATTCTCCCTCACTTGTTAATTTACCAACAGTATTAACTATATCATTGAATACTGTCGGTTTATTCATTGTTATGTTATTAGTATCATTTAAATTTATAAATATATCTGATGGCGTCGGGTCTGCACTTCTGTTACTTTGGATGCAAAAGTTTTGTTC